TCACCTGAAGCTGAGAAGTATTTGGCAGGTGAGGAGGGGCTGACCAGGGAGAGACTGTCCTCCTCTGGGCCCAGAATGTGGCCCATCCGACCCCGTGCCAGCCGCTGCAGGGTGCTGCCCATGATGGATGGGTCGCTCAGCAAGTCTGGCCAACTGAGCGTGCCTTCGCTGGATGGCCAGCACACTAGGCTGTAGAGGACACGGGTCAGCAGGGGGAGCCCAAGGAGACACGTCTGCACATCCAGTCACACACGGATACATGGGGCTTCTGAGCAAACACCTGCCTGGAAGAGTGTGTGACAACACAAAGGGCCAACAAACACTGGACGAGGACACGCGACAGCACATGCAGCCCAGATACCCATGACATGGCACACACGCAGCCCAGGTAACCATGACATGGCACACACGCAGCCCAGGTAACCATGACATGGCACACACGCAGCCCAGGTAACCATGACATGGCACACACGCAGCCCAGGTAACTATGACATGGCACACACGCAGCCCAGGTAACTATGACATGGCACACACGCAGCCCAGGTAACTATGACATGGCACACACGCAGCCCAGGTAAGCATGACATGGCACACACGTAGCCCAGGTAACCATGACATGGCACACATGCAGCCTGGACACCCATAACATGGCACACACGCAGCCCAGGTAACCATGACATGCCACACACGCAGCCCAGGTAACCATGACATGGCCCACGCAGCCCCAGGTAAGCATCACACACGCAGCCCAGGTAAGCATGACACGGCACACACGCAGCCCAGGTAAGCATGACATGGCACACACGCAGCCCAGGTAACCATGACATGGCACACATGCAGCCCAGGTAAGCATGACATGGCATGTGCAGCTGACCTACATCAAGGTCCACATTTTCTCTAAGGGCCCCCACCTTTTGGAATCGTCCAGAAATAAGTCACTTTTCATTTGTCCAGCAAAGGCCTGTTGAAAAGTAGAGAGAGAGCCTCAGACTCCAAGCTGCCCATAGGCAGTGACACCCACCCAACCCAGGCAGGGCCCGTCGGGAGCCCTCACCTCAGCACGGGGCCCAGGGAAGGTGAGGAAGGAGCTGTCCAGCACAGAAGAGTCCAGGTAGCTGTCCATGTCCAGGACCTGCTGCCCTGTGGGTGTGGGGTTTGGGGCCCCAGCCACCTACAGGGAAAGGCAGGTAGTCAGCAGGGGCAGCTCTAGCTCCTATTTCAGGGAGACATGCAACCTCCTGAGCAGGCAGAGTCTAGACTAGCTTTTCCTACAGAATGTTCTGGAATGATGCACACATTCTATACCTGCATTGTCACCACAGCCCAAGCATGTCAAACTTGCAGCTCATCAACGAATATTTTTGCGGCCCAGCCAATATAACAGCATATAAGAAATGTCTTAATAAAAATTTCCTAACTTAATTTTTACAATATCCTGTTATACATGATTATTAATAATGAGCTATAATGTTAGCTAATGACTGTTTACTATAATTGTATTGCATCCATTTCCCTTACACGCAGGCACACCATTTCTCTCCACTAATACTAGCAGCGAATATTTTAGCAGCCGATTGCCATGTCATTAGTCTTGTACTGACTTGTTTGGTGTGTGCAACAGGAAATGTATCGCTTTTGGAGAACAAGAAAAATAGGTTTATTTGCATTATGCTTATAAATTTGTGCAGTTATTCAGTGTCTGGTAAGTTAACGTTCAAGAAAAAATAATTTTTTATTAAAATGTTCTATTATTTTGTGTTAATGATTACTCACTTATTTCAGCCCTTTGTATTCAGCATGTCTCTATCGAAATAAACCTGTTTCCATGAAAATTGAAGCTTTTGTTTTTTGCGGCCCACATAAACTTCAACCTTATTTGGCCCGTGTTAGCCTTTGAGTTTGACATGCTTGCCGTGCCACTACAGAGCACTTCAAATGTGGCTGGAGCAACTGAGGAACCGAGGTGTTGATCCTATCCTATGTAATAAAAGGCTAATATGCAAATTGTCCCTTCAACCAGGAGTTCAACCAGGGGGTGGGGCCCACCGGCCAACTGCCTGTGGCCCCTCCCCCCAGCCAGTTTGGCCCCAATTGGGGCGGGCCAGCCGGACCCCACCTGTGCATGAATTTGTGCACCAGGCCTCTAGTTTAAATATAAACAGCTGCATATGGCTAATATCGCTGTGCTGGATTCCTGGGGTACATCCCTCTTGGTCATGTGTATAGTCCTCTTATGAGCTGCTGCATTTGATGTGCTATTTTGTTGAGGATTTTTGCCTGCCTATTCCTAACGAGAGTGGTTTGTGGTGCCCCTGTCTGGCTGTGGTGTCAGGGCCATGCTGGCCTTGTGGGGTGCGTTAGGAAGTGCCCTTCTGCTTCTGAGCCTGGGAAGAACTGCTGATTCTCCTGTAACTGTTTGGTATAATCGCCAGTGAGGCCATCTGGGCTTCTCTTCATGGGAGGTTTTAAATTCAGCCTCTGCATTTGCTACACGTGGGCTCAGGGTTTCCATTTCTCCTTGAGGCAGTTTGGTAGTTTGTCTTTCTAGGGACTTGTTTGTTTCTTCTGACTTATCAGTCCTGTTAATTTCTGTGTTGTTGGTAGTGACATCATTTCAACAACTGTACTTCTCCTTCCCTCCAGCTGAAGGCCTTGCTGATTTTCCCTCTCTAGCTGCCAGGCTGGACAGCACAGCCCTCTGCACAGGCAGCGAGGCCCTATTCTCCCGGCTCCGAGGCTCCCGGCCCACCTTGCTCCGGGACATCCGGAAGAGGAACAGGATAACCAGGTAGACGGGGTAGACAACCACACTGGACACCAGGCCAACGGCGATCGTGTCAACACTCAGCGGCATCAGACCGGACACAGGCCCCGAGCTATGTGGCAAGAGAGGAGAGACCTGGCTAGGTTAGGCCGGGAGGGGGAGGAGAGGTTGGGCAGAGGGAGTACATCCGAACCCCCACAGGCACCCACCTGTAGGCAGTGTCTCCCACGACCCCATACCACACCGCATTGGCACCCAGGAACAGGCAGATGAGGAGAACACAGCAGGTGGCCCGCTGGACACGAGTGAAGCGGCTCCGTGGCGGCCGGTCCCATATGGAGAGCCAGATGTGCTTGTCAAAAAAGCCCCGCTGGAGCTCAGCCACCAGGAGCCGCTGGAACCGCCGAAGGGCTGCGTCGCCTAGAGACAGGGCACAGATGGGGTTCCAGGAGGCCAGAGGCGCTGGCTCCTCCTCCAGCCTCAGGGTGCGGCAGGGGTAGCAGGCCCTTACTCGCTGCCAGCACCTCCTTCTCCACCAGGCCCCCATTAGCCTCAGTCTCCACCGACAGCCAGTCGTTGACCAAGAAGAAAGTGCTGCGGGCAGTCTGCAGATCCCTGACGATGACGTGCTGCAGGAACCAGGCGGGACTGAGCCCTGCAGAGGGGGCGGGAGCTGGGTCAGGGCGGCAGAGTGCCAGTCGGGAAGGAGAGAGGGGCAGGAGCAGGTGCCCACTCAGACCTTTGTTGTCATGCCACACTCGGATCTTCCACACACTGCCCAGGCTGTGCGGGGTGGCAATCTGGAAGATGTCCAAACTATTGCGGTGAAAGGCTCTGTCCCCATCCAGGTGCCGGTGGCCACTCCGGCTGTCCGCCCCATACAGCATGATGCCCACGTGTGCCGTGGTGCCTGGGGATGGAAGGGGAGGCGGTAGGGCTCTAGGTTTGCTGCCCACCAGCCGTTTTTTTCCTGTCTTCCTTCATTCAAGCATAGGCAGTCCTCACTCTGCTCAGCTATGAACACAAATCTCAGTTACCTAATTTGTTAAGTAAACACAGCCCCGATGACATGATTCATATGTTAGATATGACGGTATGTTAACTGTAATTGTGTGAAATATAAACTTGGCTGCTAGCTCTTCAGCCCACTGTGTAAATAAGGGATGCACAGCCTGATCAGTGGCCATCGCTCACTTCTCCCAAAGCCGGCTGACGACGGTCATGGTGCGTCCTTCAGTTCCCACAGACCCCCCCGTGTGTAATGGTGCTGCCTCCTGGTCTCCCCAAAATGAAGCCACCCGTGTCTTACAAGAATGAGCCATCAAAGCAGGGCACTGGCCGGCAAAGAGGAAAGTACAGCAAATAAATGAAAAATGGTGATGCCGGATGTGAACTCTGAATCCAAGGTGAATGGACCACTGAAGCAGCAGCCATGGGAGTGCAGACCCTGCGGAGACTCCAGAAAGGCCACCAGTGACCAACTTTCCAGCATAAAAAAGGACAGTGGCCGTGACAAAACGGACAATGATGTTACAGAACAAATATGGGGGCAAAAACTTCATATTCAAAGAACTCTCCAAGGTATTTCATGATATGGAGAGTGCAAACAAGAAATGTTAGGTTCAGTGGTTCTCAACCTGTGGGTCGTGACCCTTTTGGCGGTCGAACGACCCTTTCACAGGGGTCGCCTAAGACCATCCTGCATATCAGATATTTACTTTACGATTCATAATAGTAGCGACATTACAGTTATAAAGTAGCAACGAAAATAATTTTATGGTTGGGTCACTACATGAGGAACTGTATTTAAAGGGCCAGAAGGTTGAGAACCACTGTGTTAGAATATGGCCTTTCGCCAGGGCACAGAAAGATGGTCACTCCATATTGTGAGTTACATGAGAAAACACTGTTAAACTATTCTTGGTAAGTTTTTCACAAAGAAATAAAACACTTTAATTCCCAGTGTGTCTGTTTTATGTACACTGAACTAACTAAATGTTTCAAATTATACTGTACTGTTTATAGCCAATGGTTTTTACCATCTTGGAAATAATCTTTATTGTTTTCAAAATGATTTATTATCATTTAATAATCATTTTCCACCCTGGCTGGTGTGCTCAGTGGTTAGAGCATCAGCCTGCAGACCACAGGGTCACAGGTTCAATTCCTGGTCAAGGGCATGTACCTGGGTTGCAGGTTCATTCTCTGGCCCTAGTCAGGGCGCATGCAGGAGGCAACCAACTGATGTGTTTCTCTTTCTCCCCTTCCCTCCCTCCCTAAAAAAAAAGTCAATGGAAAAATATCCTCAGGTGAGGATTAACAAAAAAATAACAACAAAATAATTTCCTCTTTGGATCACTGAGCTCGCTTTCACATGCCCTGCGCACACTAGCAGGTCCCGTGTGACCGGACAAAGCAAGACCATCCAGGCCGACAGCACCTGCTGCACAGAGACTGTTCTTCTCAGGAAGGGTGACAACCTGTCCACAGGTCACAGCATTGCGTCAAGTGAGCCCTGTTCTGTCATCTAGGAGGACGATCGCCATTAAAGAAAGCGGCCTCCCCTCACCTGAGCCTCGGCCCCAGCCCGTCTTGACCAGGATCTCGTACTTGAAGCGGCCTCCCTTCCCACAGAAAGGGATGACGCGGACCCGGCTGACGTCGAGCTGGTCCAGCTTCCGGAGGATCACAGCCGTTACCACGTAGGTCACCAGGCACATGGCGCACGTCAGCAGGACGACGTAGTTCACGCCCAAGGCCGGCTCCTGGGGAGACAGAGCAATCAGGCGCGGGAAGCATGGCCCTTGCCTTGCCGTCTCAGGATGGAGCTGGCCCCACACTGCCCAGGACCATGGCCCCACTCACAGGGAAGATGAAGTGGACGTGGCTGGGGGGCACAAAGAGGCTGGCTCCGAAGGCCGTGAGGTGGCGGGTGAGGCAGACAGCCTGGCTGGGCGAGGTCTCCTCCAGGGGCACCAGCCCCTCCGTCCGCCACATCATCTCCTTCTCACTGAAGTACTGGCACAGGGACGTGTACAGGCCCACGGACACGTCCAGCGCGGACCAGCGGAAGTGGCTGGTCAGGTTCAGGTAGTAACTCCCGCCCAGGTCTCGGGTCCTGTAGAAGCAGGGGGATGTCACAGCCACACCCTGCCCAGCCCCTGGTCTCAGGTCACCGCAGTCTTCTCTGCCACAGCCACGCTCACCAGTCACTCTGCTGCACACCTGCCCCCGCGGGGAGCCCACGCGACGTTGGCACATACGGATCTAATCGTGTCCAGCTCCCCCACCCCTGACGAGTCCTGGTCCGGTTTGTCAGACCCAGTGGCCCAGCATGGAGGCCACTCCCGGTCCTCACCCAGGGGCGATGAAAAAGGTGTAGGGCCTGTGGTCCTTGCCCGCCAGCGCCTCCAGGCTGATCTTCCTGCTGGCCGAGCAGTTGTGCTCGTTGGGCCAGGGCGCCGAGTGCAGGTAGACAGCCAGGTAGGGCTCGGGCTCCTCAGACAGGTAGTGCTCTGGGGGCGGCATGTATAGGGTCAGATGACCACCCACCTGGGCGACACCCCTGAGCGCCCCTGAACCCTGCCTCCTGCACGGCTGGAGGAACTCAATGCGGGAAACGGCTCCTGCTCCTCCCTGGCTCCCCCACAGCCCACTGCCCGGCCCATGGCACCCACCGTTCAGCACCGTGTAGGTGAGCTGTAGGTGCAGCCCGGCCTCCGGTTTGCTGTGGTTGGGGGTGACCACAGCACTGACCGAGGCCCGGGGCGGGACGATGGCGGAACCAGCAGGGATGCGGTGGACCCGGGCAGCCTGGTCAGGGCTGTTGGGCACCTTCACGGTGATGGCACGCTCCGAGGCCAGCTGCCCAATGGGGATCTGGGTGCCAGCCTGCGTCTGGAAGGCCATAGATGCCACCTTGGTGGAGACGGTGTAGTTGCTTATGAAGCCAAAGGGAAAGGGGTTGGAATCAACAAGGAAGATGAGCTGCACCACGTCGCTGAGGTTGGACAGAGCCCCACTGAAGGCGGCAGGGATGGAGAAGTGGCAGCCGGGGCCCGAGGCATTGCCCTGGCACAGCAGGCTCAGTGGGTCTGAGCGCTTGCCCTGTGCCACAATCTCCTCGCCCGCCAGGGTCAGGGGCTCCTCATTGAGCACTCGGGAGCGCATGAGGATGCACATGAGGGCTGACGACAGGTTATAGGCCCTGGATGCCACCCTCAGTGCAGGCGGCTCAGCCCCCAGCTCTGAGGGCTGCAGGTCCTGCACGTTTGAGTTGGACAGGTGGATGAGGTCGCCTGTGGATGGAGAGGTGGGAGGGTTGGGGGGGAAGTTAGTAGGAAGAAACGTGACAAGGGAAGAAGGGTTGGGGGAGAGAAACGGAGCAGCGGCAGGGGGGAGAAAGATGGAGGAATGGAGGAGTCCCATGGGGTCCCCGGCCCCAGCCCACACCTGTGATGTTGAGGATGCTGTCGGCAATGGCGGTGGGTGTCCCAGTGCCCGCGGTGGTCTCGGCCTGCAGGATGCGCATCATGGCCTCCAGCTTGTGCAGGGTCTTCTGTAGGCATGGGCGGCACACAGGCTCCCTGCCGGCCACCTGTAGGGAACCCAGGCCATGTCCAGCCTCGCTCCAGCCCGGTAGCTCCCTCTTAAGCTCCTGGCCCAGCTTAACTCCGTCACATTCACTGTGATTCTGGGGTGACCTCCATGACCACAGCCTGTTTGTTTCCATCGGGTCTCTCCAAACCACCCAAACACAGCTGCCCCCACGTGCCTCCCTGTTGAGAGCCTTCCTGGGGCTCCTCCCTACCTACAACAAAACCCAAGGTAATATGGCCCTACTGGCCACCCCAGCCACACAAATAGCCACGAAGGCCACATGGCAGACAGGGAGACTCCCAGAAGGCTCTTTGCTCCTCTGCTAAGGCCTCTGTAGCAACCCTGGCAGTTGAGGTACCGTGCCCCCCACCCCATCAAGATGTGGCCCAGCCCAGCAGCTCCCGGTTCCTAGGCGAGTTGGCGGGCAGCCTCTCGGGGCTGGAGAAGCCATGTCAGCCCTCTCCATACATGGGCTGCTCCTCTTGCCCTGGGCCACCCTGCAGGGTCATCCTGGGGGGCACCTATGGCTCATGCTGGGCTCCGCCAGGAAGGGCACACGGCCGGCCAGACGCTTGGGTAGGGAGGCCTAGTGCTGCCGAAGAGCCCGGGTCCCATCCTACCATGCACTGGGCCAGCACGGCTGCGATCTGCTGGATGTCGTCCACGGTGTTGACCCGCAGAGAGACCAGGGTCTCTGTGATATTCTTGCGTATCTCGGCTTGCAGCTGCCACCTTAAGTCTGGCTCTGCCACCATGGCCAGGGTCTGCTCATACTGTGGGTGGTGGGCACAAGGCAGCTATCAGTGGACAACAGGTAGCCATGTTGGTGGGCACAGTGCAGACCATCTCAGGTGCTGCATACTGTAGGCAGTGACTCAAACCCTTTCAAGGGCCCTCCTGAGGTTCTGGGGCGCACGAAGAGGCAAGGCAGGGGGAATCTGACACTGGGGAGGGTCCCAGGAAGGGGCCATCAGTGAAGGCGCTCAGCCCTCTGCTGAGAGGAGAAGCCATTTCAAGGAGGTTAGGGACTCTGTCTGTCGGGAGCCAGGGACAAGTCCTTTGCAAGAACTCAAGGCTCCAGTCAGAAGTACTGCTCTGGGCCAGCACCCAACAGCTGAGGGCAAATGCCCCAGCCCTGGAACTGACCTCGTTGAGCACAGTGATAAGGGCCAGTGAGTATTCGATGACATGCTGGGGGTCAGCCTGTCTCAGCAGCCTGGGCAGCATACTCTCCGTGAGGCTGTGCAGCCATGGGGTGAGTTCTGGGGGGCCTCCCAGGGGGTCACCTGGGGGCTCTGGCAGGGTGATGGCCAGAGACCTGCACACAGAGGTCATAGGTGAACAGGCAGCAGCCCCTGCTCCCATCCCCCAGGCCCTGCTCCCAGGGGCCCTGCTCACCTGTTGAGGGCGACCACGGCAGCACCCAGCTGGTCCTGCACCACCACAGCCAGGTCCACCTCAAAGTGGGGTGCGAAACCGGGTGGCAGCACAGCCCCATAGGTGGAGAGACTGCCCTTGTACACACAGAACTCCTCACAGTGGCCCTGGCGGCAGCGCTGAAGCAGCAGGGCGTACACGAGGGGGGCACCCGCATCCTCTGCATCCCGCCAGCCTGCGGGCCACAGGAGTCACCTCAGCCGCTCCCTGCAGGCCGCCCTGGGCATCACCGTGGCCTCCCGCCTCCCTCCCGGCCGCACTCACCCGTGCACTCGAAGTGCACCTTGGTGGTGAGAGCACGCACGGCGTCCAGTGGGAAGAGGTGGCAGGAACCCCCCAGCGGAGGGCGGTTGGGGGAGAGGCGGATGGAAGCGCAGCCCTCCTCCTCGCCAGAGCGGCCCAGCACCGTGAGCGTGAACGTGTAGCCCTCGCCGTCCCGCAGCACACCGCGCCGCACCACCAGCCGCATGCCAGTGCTGCCTGTGGAGGTGGTTGTCTCATCCAGCACCAGCGTCTTGTTGCTGAAGGTGCGAGCAGCCCAGAGCTGTGGGTGTAGATGCGCACTCAGGGGCAGCATGGGAGCTGCTGAGCCCTCGGGGCTGGGACATGTCACCACCTAAGCACCGACCCTACACCCAGCCCTGCCCACCCCAGGCCCACCCAGCTCACCCCACGCTTGGAGCCCTCACTGCAGTTGTCACAGTGGCCCTCCAAGTAAACGTAGGAGCTGCGGCTCACTGCGTACACCCCCTGCGCCTTGCAGGACACGCACTCCAAGGACACGATGGGCATCCGGCCGCTCCGGATCAGCACCTGGAGATTGGGGGCCGGGGTGGGGGGACAGGAAGACCAGGCCCCGAGATAAGGGCCGCTGCTTCTGAGGCCCAGACCCCAAGTCTGCCCAGGTCAGCGGGGCGGCTGGGCCCAGGAGAAGGGCCTCTTCCTCTGCACATGCTGCTGTCCCAAACGGGGAAGCTCCCCTCTAGGCCCCAAGTCCAAGTTCCCAAAGGACAGTGAGCTTGGCCCTCACCCAGGGCATTCATCGGGTTTTGTATCTTCCAATTTGGGAGCAGGGATCATCTAAAGGAGCAGAGACCATGTTGGGCTTATTTTCTGCAGCATCCAGTGCCTATCTTGGGCCTGGCACACAGGAGGCACCTGATATGTGCTCACATATGGATGCACACAGGAATGAGGACAGCTGTGTTCTACACAGCCCTTCTGAGGGTCCTGCTGTCCTGGGGGGCAGGGTCCACCTCTGACAGCCCAGCTGAGCTGGACCCTGCTCGGAGCGCCTACCTTCCCAGACAGTCCCGAGGCAGGCCATCCGGGAGAGGCCTGGCACTGGGGACAGACACCCCAACCCAGGCACCAGCAGGGCCTGGCACACCTGCTCCCATCTGCAGGCCCTGCTCAACAGCAGCTGCAGTGGCTGACAGGGGCCCTGACCTCCTGGCCGGTCCAGGGGAGGGGAGCAGAGCACATGCCCATGGAGAGGGAAGACAGGCCTCCCTGTCAGGAGACTAGGACAGCCCCTCTCAGGGAGAATGTGTCTCCTCACTGTGGCCTTTGTGCTGTTGGGACAGTTTATTTTTCACAAATCACAAGAGCTGTACGGCTCCTCCAAGGTTTGGAAGGAAATAATGCTGAAGCAACTAGCAGTACTAAACATAGAAAACCTTAAAGGGTGTTTGGTGCTATCTGTAGGAGGCAGCCCTGTGTACTCAGCCTTCCTGGCAGCCCTTCCTCCCCGCTCCCCCCGCCCGCCCCCTGCAATGCAGGCCTCTGGCTCCACTTTCCTGGGCCAAGGCCAAGGGCCGGTGGACCCACCGTCTGGTTGGTGGCCTCCTCCTTCCGGCCAGCCTTCCACACGGTCAGGTTGAAGGTGTACTCCACGCCGGCTTGCAGACGCTCCCGAGGGATGGTGACTATGCTGTTTCCGCGGGGCCCGAAGTTCAGCACACACCCACCGGTCTCGCTCTGTGGCCAAGAACAGGGGCGGTGAGACCCTGTATGCCCCCGCCCCCCAAAGCAGAGCCTGACCCAGAGGACAGCTGGGGACACCCCTCCCCCTGCTGGGATCAAGCCACCAGGACTCTGCCAGCAGATGAACCCTCCTCCCCTGCTGGGCTCATTACTGCAGACACCCGAGGGGACTGAAGGATGCCCCTTCCTCTGGCCCTGCCGAGAATCGGACCTGCGTTGAGGCCACACAGGCCCAGTGGAAGCTGAGCGGTGTCTGGTCGCCATCCTCCAGGTTGGGGTCATAGGACTTGCTCCCATCCAGCACAAGGTCCTGCACGTCTGACCACACTCGGTAGGAGCCTCCCTCAACAATGGGCACGAGGCGCTCCGGGGCTACCGTCACGTTGGCCTGGATGCTCTGCGACAAGGGTGTGTCCCCAAAAGACACCACAAACACAAAGCAGTAGTGGCCCACAGGCAGCACCAGGCGAGGCACCACCAGCTGGGGCCGGCTCACGTCCACGCCAAGGTTTGTCCTGTAATGATTCCCTGGGCTTGCTGCTAGCCACTGAGCAAATATTTCTGGTTAACAGCAAAATTCATCAATAAGCAAATGGAAAACAAATCAGTTCAGCTATATAGTTGAAAAATAATCACAGTCTTGTAGACGAAACCTGCAAGGTGACTTTACAGTAAGAGTGATAGGAAAATTGCCAGGATGTGACTTGAATTTACACTGCAAGTGACTGTCACAGGAATGTACCACAGAATGCCAAATGATGGTGATATGATTGCTATGCAAAAACATATTTGTGCTTTCCAGTTACAGATAAGAATGCCAACTACTTTCTGAAAGTAGAACCTCTGAGTAATTTGTCATATGCTCTTTCAGTGTAAAAGGAGTATTCTTGTCCTTCATGGATTCATATTGTATAAACAGAGCGCTAACGTCATCTTATACCCAAGGGACTTCCTGAGCACTTGATTCAGGCGGCGCGGTACACCTCCCAGCGGTACTCCGTCTGGTAGCTGACACAGCCGCGCAGGTCAATGTGGGCCTCCAGGTAGTTGCGCTGGGAGCGCCGCATCAGCACCTGAGGGGGTAGGGCCACGTCTACCTTGGGCTCCCTGCAGGCCAGCACGTGGACGGTAACTGTGGCCTGTGCCACAAAGAAGCTCACCAGGTTGGAGGCATTCACCTCCACATGGTAGTCCCCAGGCTGCAGGTAGGAGTGCTCAGCCCAGGGCTCCTCTGTGTCCTCCGCCGGGGCCCCATCCCCGAAGTCCCAGTGGTAGGCCACACGCCGGGGGCTGGGGCTGGTGGCAGCCTCAAACCGGGCGGAGCGGTTGGTGAAGCAGCGGCCACTGCGCAGCGCCACGTACTGGATGACATCCTGGACCTCAACCACCAGAGTCTGGTTCACACCGCCCAGCTCATTAAAGGCACGCACGTGGATCTCCAGGAGCCCCGCGGCCACAGGGGTGTAGGTGACCTCACGGCCTGACAGGATGACCAGCGAGTCCCCCTGGACCTTCTGTAAGGAGAAGTACCAGGCATAGGCAACACGAGACCCCCGCTGCACTCGGGCCGTGAAGTTCCTCTCCGTGCCTGTGGCGATGCCTGCTTCGCAGCAGTTGGGCACCTGGAGCCCACCCACGGCCTCCAGCACCAGGATGCGTGCCTGCGCCTGCGCCCGGCTCACATGGTTCTCGGCCTGGATGCTCACTGTGTAGTCCCCAACCCGGGGGAAGCTGCGGGAAAAGTGAGGCCCTGGGAGCGCCTCGAGGCCAGCCCCCGCGACCTGCAAGTGGAAGCTGACGGCTGAACCGGAGGCCAGCAGGATCTGGAAGTGGACCAGCTGCCCAGGCTCCACCACCTTGCTGCTGGCCCACAGTACCAGGCCCACGACAGGCTCCTCCACCACGAGGCTGTGTGTGGCGATGAGCCAGCTGACTGCGTTGGAGGCATTGAGCTGGACAGAGAAGGTGCCAGCATCAGGGAAGGCCACAGTGACGTGCTGGCCGTGTCTGCTGCCACCGGGAACAGCCCAGCACCAGCTGACATTGGTGCCGGAAGCCACCTGCCCCCGGAAGGACACAGTGGAGCCAGTCATCACAAAGCTTCCATCCAGCTCACTGGCCCTGATGCTGAGGCCACTCACAGGCACTTGCACAGCCAACTCAATGGTGGTGTTAGCCAAGCCCAGCTGGTTCTTGGCCGTGACTGAGACCAGGTATAGGCCGGGAGTGGGGAAGGTGTGGGTCGTGGATGGTTCTGGGGTCTCCCAGCTCAGTCCTTCCTCCAGGGACCAGGTGTAAATGACATCACTGCCACCAGCCAGTTCAGCACAGAAGGTGACACTCACGTTGACAGGGGCCGGGTTGGGGGAGGCAGCCACAGACAGCCACCCCACGGGCTCCACAAACTCTACGGTGCGGTTGGTTGAGGCACTGCCCAGCATGTTTGTAGCCCGCAGCTGGACGTGGTAGGTGCCAGCCTCAAGCACAGTGAGTGAGAAGGTTTTGCCGCTGCCAACCAGGGTTGTGCCGCTGTCCCGCTGGGCAGTCCAGCCATAGGAGATGTTGGTACCATCCCTGACCACAGCCTGTAGCTGAAGGGTACTGTTGGTGGGGAAGCAGCAGCCGCCGCCACCGCCAGCCACCTGCAGCCCCTCAATGCGTTGCAGGACGTAGACAAAGATGCTATCCTGGGCAGCGCCCACCTCGTTCTCAGCTGTGACAATGATGTTGAAGGTGCCCACAGAGCGAAAGGTGTAGGAGATAGTGGGGCCCCCAGGAATGGGTGTGCAACGGTCACAGAGCACCCAAGAGTAGCGCACATCACTGCCCGCCTCCAGTGAGGTGCTGAAGCTCACGCTACCGTTCAAGGGCACCACTGTGCGGCTGGCATTGATACTGAGCCCCTGCACACGCCGCTGTACTGAAACATTCAGCTGGGCCTCCCCGCGGCTCACCTCGTTCCAGCCGGCCACCCTGATGGTGAAGTGGCCTGTGCTGGCGTAGATGTGAGTGACCGAAGGGCCCTCCAGCCGTGCGCCATCCCCAAGCTCCCACAGGTAGGCGACAGGGCGCCCGTGGCCCACAGCGGAGAACAGGTAAGGCTGCTGCAGCTCCAGCACACGGGACCCATTGACCCTGATGCCCGTGAGCTCCACGGGCTCCTGCACCTCCACGAGCGCTGAGTCGTTGGCAGCCGAGATGTTGTTGGACACAGTGACCGTCACCAGGTAGGAGCCTGCATCCCAATAGGTGAACGTGGCCTCGGGGACCCCGACGCAGGGTGCATCCTCGGTGCCAAAGTCCCAGGTGTAGCGGTAGTGGAACGGGGGCCAGGCGTGGGCCACCAACTGGGCCTTGTCTCCAAGCCGCACAAACTGCCTCTCAGGCAGCAGAGTGACGTTGCCCACCTCGGGCTCCACGCACACACTGGTGAAGTAATGTGCCTTGTTCACACGGCTTGACAGGATGAGCACCAGGGGAAACGTGCCACTCTGTGTGAAGTTGTGAGTCACAGTTGGGTCCCCCCAGATGGTCATGTTGGAGGAGCCATCCCCAAAGGTCCAGTCGAAGACATAGTGGGCAGGGTTCCCCGTGACGTGGGCCGTGAGCCGGGCCTGCGGCTGCACCGGTATGCAGGCCACAGGGTCAATCCACAACACCTCCAGGACAAAGACCTGCATGGGCAGGCTCTGGGCTAGGTGGCCAGCGGGGCTAGACACGCCCACGGTCACCGTATAGTTCCGAGCCTGCAAGTACACATGCTCCACTGAGGCCTCTGGGTCCGTGAGCACCGTGCCATCCCCCATGTCAAAAGTCCATGTGACATTGTCGCCCGACTCCAGGGCGGCGCTGACCACCACCGGCGTGCCCTGCTCCACAGCTGAGCTCAGGCTCACACGCAGGCCACGGAGCTCTTCAAAGACGCGGACATCAGTGCACGCCCCCGTGCTGCTCACTGTGTTGTTGACCTCGAGGCAGATGTGGTACGTACCCCTCGAGGTGTATGTGTGGTTGACCATTGGCTGGTGATGTACCATGCCTGGGGAACCATCCCCAAAGTCCCACGTGTACAGGATGCTCCCAGGAGAAGGCAGTGGATGTGGGGAGAAGGTGACGGGCCGGCCAGCAACCAGGACAGGGCTGCCCACAGCCACAGCCACGGCAGGCAGAATGGCACGCACACTCACAGGCACCAGCTGCGTCAAGTTCTCGAAGGCGTTGGACACGAGCAGGGTCAAGTTGTACTCACCTGGGAGACAGGCCCAGAGTGGGAATGGCGCTGTGGCCACCATGCCGCCTGCTAGCACGATCCCTCCCTAACCCCATGAGGGCTGCTGTGCGCAGGAACCTCTCAGAAGGGCAGAGTAGGGCCATGGTCAAAACGGAAAGAACACCCTTGGGTCCCGCTCCCGGGGCCTCACAGAGAGGTGTGTGTCAGGTGCCATCAGCCCAGAGCAAGACACAGGGCCACAGCAGAGCTGGGATGAGGAACAGACCGTCTCTGAGTGAGACTTCACTGGGATTAACAGAGTGAGGCCAGTGCAAAGCAAGGATCGTGGGAACCCTGCTATTTGCTTTGCATTCTGTGTATGAGGGGTTATGGAATTTTAAAAGTAAATAAACAGTAACCCTCCACCCCTTCTCTCCAAAAAAAGGCTCAGAGAAGGACACAGGAGGGTCTAGTTTCCTATCAGCAAGTTCAGTTCACAGGGATCAGTGACCTAGTCCACCCTTCACCCCTAGCCACCCCTCTTTCACCCTAGTAAGGCCCTGGGCCATCACCCCAAGCTACTTAAAGGGGGCTGCCCCTAGGAGGGCTTGCCCAGTGGGGGCCAGCAGGGCTGTGGGCCCGCCCTCACCTGGGATGGTGTAGGTGTGAGTGGTGTTGTGCTCCACTAGCACCTGGGCCACCATGGGGTCTGGGACCTGGAAGGACTCATCGTATGGAGGCTTGAACTGGCCGATCACCTGCTCTCCATCCCCGAAGGTCCACCTGGCAGGGCAGCAGGCAGGCAGTGAACATCTGGGAGGATGAGTGGGACAGGCTGGCCGCTCCCATAGGGGGCACCCTTGCCTGGCTATAGTCACTATTCTTGTACCTTCATTCAGGGTACCACCCAGCCCTGCTGCAGCTCCCACCCCCTCCTAGATCCTATGTACCCATCACCTCCCGACAGATGAGGAGGGGACTGGGGAAGGAGCGCTGAGAAAGAACCTGGCACCCCTGCTACCTGCTGGGCCCAGTGCACTCACAGAAAGGCCACCTCCACAGCCGAGTCCACTAGCACATCAGCTGCCAGCTCCAGCGTGGCATTGGGGGGCAGCACAGGTGGCACTGCAGACACCCGCAGGCCCCGCATCTTATGCATCCGCTCCACCGTGACATTGTAGTTCACAGTGACATTGCTCACGTGATTGGTGGCTGTCAGCTGTGGAGACAGGTGGTGGTGTTCAGGCAGCCAGTAGGCACTCACCCCAGCTACCACAGGGTGGGCAGGAGCAACGCGGAACAGAAACAAGGCAAGGGCGAGCACTAGTCATCCGCCCGCCCGCAGCCTTTCCTGCGCCCTTCACCCACCGAGAGCTTGAAAACCGCAGCGCTCTGGTAGATGACGTTGAAGACCACATTGTGAAAAGTCAACGACTGCTTGTCATCGATGGTCCAGCGGAAGACCACGTCTGAGCCGGCCTCCACCACGGGGCTGTACCTCTGAGGAAAGGGCACAGTGTCAGCCCACGGTGACCCTGCCCAGCACAGGGTCTCTGGAGGACCAACTCTGCCCTCGGCCTACGTCTACCCTCCTGGACACACCTCCCTGTGGGGCTCCCTGGGACAGGACTTGAAGACACTGTGGGGGAGAGGGAAGGCAAGAAGGGGTAGGAGGAGGGCCTCGGGGCTCACCCTCGACTAAGGAGCCACATGGTATCCGGCTGAGCTGGGGTTTAGTCACACCTTGACCTCTCTGCACCTCAGTTCCCCACCTGTCATCTCTGAACGGGCACACCCCTTCCAGGGCTCCTGCTCAAGCCCCTTAGTTGAACAGCACAGTGCCATTTGGGAAGGCACATGAGTCTCAATGCGTCTCATGCTAGATATTTACCTGCATCACCTGATAGAACAGGTGTGAACAGGTGTGACTGGGCAAGCTGGGGACACACTGTACAGGGGCAGGACTGTCAGAAACAGCCCTTCCAAAGTCCCTGTGCAAAGGTGCAGAGCTGGTGGCTGCCTTGTTCAGGTGGGCACCCCAGGCCCAGGGACAGGCCCTTCCCCGAAGGCCTTCATGTGGCCAGGTGGCATCAGACCCCTTCTCAAAAAGTGCTCAGGGCCTGAAGACACACCCAGGGTTAATGAGGTCAGAAGTATGCGAAGAGTTTTACAATTTGTTTCTTGAAATGTGAGAGCGGAAAAAACGTTTTTAGAGCCACTGCTCCAGCAGTGACTTTTCAGTAATTTAGGAATAAATGCCACCTAACAGGGCCTGCCCATTAACCAACCAAGCTCTCTCATCACCGGGGAGAGGCCACTCTTTGCACGGACACCTTATCTCAGGAGAGGGCGTACAGACCTGCTGGCCACACTCACCACCAGGACGCCCTGCAGCACGCGGGCCTCGGGGCTGGGCATGGCTCGGAGGCCGCAGATGGGCTCCTCCACCTTCACCCACAGGCTGAGGTTGGCCCGGCTGGCGCTGTTCTCCACCACAACCTCCACTGCATGCTCGCCCTCATGGAGTCTCGGCAGTGCCAACACTGAGAACAGGGTGTTGTTGGCCTCATGGGCACAGCTTGGCACCAGGGCAGCCACTGAATCCGGGCAGGTGGCCTCGAAGGGCGCACTGATGTTGCCCCCGGGCCAGCGCACCGTGGCTGTGGCGTTGGCACCGGAGTCTACCTGGAGCACCAAGGCCGAGCCATTGGTGGACATGTAGAGGAGGCCATCATGGGGGATGGGGTGGACGACCCGAAGCCCGGCCACTGAGGAGAGCACATCGAAGCTGCAGGATAGGTTCCACCTAGACACGCTGTTGCCCACTGCGGCCCGGACCTCATAGCGTCCCGGCCGCCTCAGCCCTGGATTGGGCCTGAGGCCCAGCAGTGGGGTGAGCCGTTCTGTGGCAGTGAGCAGCCGCAGGGCACAGGCCTGGCCTGCCCGGCTGGCCTCTAGCTGGGTAGGCAGGCAGCCCAGCCAGGCCGAGGCATTAGAGAAGTATGGGGCCTCGGGGCCAGGATGGCTGAGTGCTGGGGTACAGCGCAGAAGGGCGCCCGGGCCGGCATCATGCTGGAAGCCTATGAGGTCACCAGGGAGCAGGGGGCCATCCTGGTCACGGAAGGCGACCTACAGGAGAGGGAGGAGGGGCTGTGTCAGGGCCTCACAGTGGGCCACCTCTGGTCAGGGGCCTGCAGAGAACACTGGGCCAGGGCTCCAACAGGCAGGCAGGACCCTAGCAGGTAACCCGGAGTCACTCCTCCGCATGATCTCAACACTTATCACTCACTCACTCTACCAGGCTTCATAGGGGCCCCAGGCACTCACTCATGGTGGGGACAGAAGGGACAGCCTCAGACAAACAGAACATGCACTAGGCAAGACAGAGAGAATGCAGGCAGATGGGGCTTCCCGGACAGGGGAGGGACTTCGGCGGGACACTGCAGCCAAGACTTGAAGAGGAGGAAGGAAAAGGCCAAGCCAGCAGGTTTAGAGTCCTCCTCAGAGGCACAGAAAGCTAACGGTCCTGGGGCGGGAGCTTCTTGTGCTGGGAGATGAACAAGGGCTCTGACAAGGCCGGGGGTGGGCAGGGGGCCCGTGGACTATGTGGAAGAATCTGCATATTGTCTGTTTAATGGGGAGGCAGGTGGCACCCAGGCCAGTGACACACACCGAGTACTGGGCAGGGGGCCCCGCAGGTACAGAGAAGAGGAACTCCCTCCACAGTGTGTAGGAGGCCCCTGGGAGCCCCGGTCCTGCCGTGGACCCGTTGGCCTGAGGGTAGCAGGGGGTGTCCAGTGGCAGGCAGATGTTGGATCTGGGGCACCAGACACCTTCTGGTGTACACTCAGGAGCCAGCTCAGTCCTGTTCTCCAGGGACCTCCTCTCAGGCTCGCTGCTGTTCGCTGGGACCCCTGTGAGGAGAGGAAGGGTGTCACAGGTCCTGATTTACGGGGAGTTCCAGTCAGGATGTCCACTACTACCTGGGGCCCTGCCATGAAGTACTCCCGGCCTCTACTATCATTCCCCTCCCCTTCCCAACACCGGGCCAGCTGACGGCCGGGAGAACCCCCACCCAGGCAAGCCCTATCCAACCTGTCCTTGGGACTCCGGCACGAGTGGTCTCTGTGGACACCATTCTGTCCACCTTGAGGCTAGAGACCAGTCCAATGGTCAAGAGACCAGCAGCCATGACAACGCACAGGGGCTACCCAAGCCCCCCAACTCCCACCACCAGGACAGGGTCCCACCTGCTCCTCCCATGGGCCGGTACACCTGTAGCCTCATCTGGGCAGGCCGGCCGAGCTCTTGGGTTCCAAACTCAGCAGCGGTGAGGAAGGCTTCACGGCTCAGGCCCAGGCCAGGGAACACCATCACCTGGTGAGGTGGAAAGGAATAAGGACGGGGAGGAAGGGGGAGGTGTGGGGAGCAGGTGCTGGTAGGAGGGGGGTTTGGTATGCTCAGCTCCACAAACCCTGGCGTGTAGCCCCCACCAGCCGAGAGGGGAAGGAGCCACAACAGGGGGCTTTATGAGGCTCCCCACACGCTTTGCTAGGCAGGAAAAGTCATGTCAAAGCATCTGTGAGCAGCAGGACCCCTGCTGGGTTTTTTAAATCCACAGACACAGAGAGAAAAGGCACAGGAACTCAGAACCCTCCTGGATACCAGGCCAGGGGTTTCTCCTCCCTGCGCAACAGCGGGTTTTCTAAACCAGCGTCGCCAACCGGTGGTCCGCGAGGTCCGAAAGTTTGGCGCCTGCTATTCTAAACCATCTCTTCTAGGCACACAGGAAATTTAAAAGGGTCCTTAAAAAAGCAGCTGATGCCCAGCCGGCATGACTCAGTGGTTGAGCATAGACCTCTGAACCAGGAGATCACCGATCGATGCCTGGTTAGGGCACATGCCTGGGTTGCAGGCTCGATCTCCAGTAGAGGGCGTGCAGGAGGCAGCCAGCCAATGATTCTCATCATTGATGTTTCTATCTTTCTCCCTCTCCCTTCCTCTCTGAAATAAAAAAAAAAAAAAGCAGCTGTTTTCTAAAGAGGCACAGTAAGAGTGATCTGTGTCCGGGGGCAGGGTCTTGGCTGGCCTACCTCGACGGGCTCCCGGGGGGCAGAGAGGGCCTCTTGCTGTGCCAGGGGGCTCAGTGGTCCCTGCAGGTCTCCGCTGGGCGCCCCCAGGAGGAAGTTCTCCGCATCCCACACGGGGCCTGGGGTGGCAAGTGTGCAATGAGGTACTGGTCCCAGGCCAAAGAGGAGAGTGAAAGGGGCCAGGGCAGGACTGAGCCACCTGGCAGCAGCCCCCCAACCCTCCAGCTTCCTCTATCTTTGTTTCTGTCCGGTGCCCAGGACGACAGCAGGTGCTCAGCAAACACCTAATGAACCCTGACCGGCTAAGAAAGGAGCCGGGTGGGGGCGGGGGGCGGGGGGCACTGTCTTAGCCAAGGGTAGGAGGAGCTCTGGGGCCAGGAGACTGTGCTTGGAGAGTAGCTGTCTTGGTCCAGGGCAGAAGGCACCCCCTAGCCCAGCAGCCCCAGCGCACCTCCAGGCCGCAGCTCACAGACGTAGCTGTGTGGTGCCGAGCACAGGTCCGTGTTGCACTGCCCAGCAGGCCCAAGCCGCACACAGCGCTCTGCAGTGGCGGGATGTGGCTCCCCAGGTAGCCAGTTCTGGCAGCTCTCTAGGCTGAAGGCCTCACCCTGAGACCGCGGGCCTGCCTCAGCGCCCTCCACAGCCGAGAAGCCAATCCACACGTCCAGGCCCCTGCAGATGTGGAGAGTGAGGACTCAGGGGGCTCCCCAAAGACAAGTGCCCCTCCATTCATCCTCTCTAGGGGCAGGCTTCTCATAGCTGTCCCTCAGGTGGGCCCTGCCTCTACTCTCCAGATGGGAAAACCGAGGCTCAGAGACACGACCTGGAGAGCAAGGCCCATAGTAATTCCCATCCAGCCACCCTCACCATGCGGCTAGGGGCCCAGCCAAAGGATCTTGCCTCAATCAGACCAGCACTATGTCCTGTGGGGAGGCCCAGAGTGTGGCATTTGAGGACCATGACACCCACATATCAGTTCCCGAAGGGATATTCTCCATAGCTCTGCCAAGGTAGGAAGACCCTCTTAGGGGCAAGAACTGTAGACATAGCTAGGAATGGACACAGAAACAGACAGAGAGATAGGGATAGGGACAGACACAGGGATGAGCAGAGGGACAGGGATAGACACAGAGAAAGAAATGAGGTGCTGTGGTCAGGGCCAGGCACTGGGGCCAAGCATATTAACCAGTGACCTTGGGCATGGGTGTGACCACTCGGGCCCTCAACTAACTTCCCCTCCTCTACACTGAGGCAGGATATGGTTTCACCGTCTAACTAGGCTCTGCCCACACAGGGAACCGGGAGGGGGGTCTGGCCCCATCGCCAGCCTGGGCTGGTACTGAGGTCTCTCCAGCCACCTGTCCTCCAGACTGTCTCAGGCTCTGTCCCCAACACAGTGTTCAGCCTCGCCACCCCCACCTCCCAGCCTCTCAAGGCTGGGTTCAGGTACCTGGTGACGCGGGAAACCAGGAAGTGCTGGATGGCGGGACTGTCCACCATGGCCAGGGCGGCCCCAGCCCAGGCCCGGCATTGCTCCTGCGCCTGCAGCCAGGCTGCCTTCTCTGCTACCAGGCGATAGCAGTGTCCGTTACCAGGGAAGATCTCGGTGTCAGACGGACATAGCGGATGCACCACTGGGGGCCGGCAGGGAGAGACGGGGCATTAATGTGTGCCCACCTGGGCCTCTGCCCCACCCACCCCTGACCCTGGGGTGAGAAACAGGAGTGGTGACCCGGGCCCTGGGAAGTACCCACCTTGGACTGGCTCCTCGCCCAGGGCCATGATGCTGTAGGTAGCTTCAAGGCCTGAGCCACCACGATTTCGGATGCTGAGCTCAAGGGTCTCATCACTGTGCACCGAGGCTGGACACATGAGCTCTAGGGCAGCGGGAGCCGCCTCCACCTGCACCTCTGTCCTCAGTTGGGCTGAGCCAGCCCCCAGGGCCAGCACTGCTGTCACGTGATAGCGCCCAGGCAGCACATAGTGATGAACGCTGGCAGGACCAGCAATGTCCACCTCAGGGGAGCTGTCACCAAAGTCCCAGTGTGTGGAGCTGACAGGCAGCAAGGCAGTGACATGGAAGGCTGCTGGCTGGCCAGAGGCCAGGGGTCCTTGGGGCCCCACCAGGGCAGCCCCTGGGGAGGCAGGGAAGACATTCTGGAGGACGGTGGGGCCCCTGCAGGCAGGGGCAGGGGGCTGTGGGGAGCTAGAGCAGAAGGACAGGCAGATGGAGGAGGTGTTGGGGGGATGGGCAGTCCCGCACAGGCAGTGGCCCTGCTCTGAGAGGGCCGCGAAGTCCTGGCCGGTGGAGAAGCAGAAGGCACTGCAGGCCTCGGGCACCAGTGGACCCTCATGAGCAACTGCGAAGGCCACCAGCACCGTGGCACCCGAGCTGTTGTTGGGGAGGCAGGCAACGTACTTCTCACCTGAAAGGGGCAGATGGCTGCCTCTCAGGCCCCACTCTAGATCCCAGATCACCCCACCCCACCCCACTGCTGGTCTTCCCCCACCTGCCCACACCCTGGTCCAGAGGGCCTTCCTGGCCCAGTTAGTCTGTCTCAGCCCTGTTCCCCAGGTCCCCATCTACTGTGGAGGCTGGGGACCCGAGCACCGGCAGAGGCCCTGCTTGGAAGGGCTGTACCCCAGGAAACGAAGCTGGCCCTGCCCACACTCACCACAGCCACCGTCAGACAAGGGGACTCGAAGGAGGGGCAGGCCAGCCAGGGGGCCAGGCCCCGCACAAGTGGCCGCCTCTGGCTGCACCACATGAACCCGCTGCTCCTCTACCCAGCGCGGCAGCCAAGCTAGGCCACAGTCACACTCCAACGGGTTCCCACTCAGGTTTCTGTGGGAGGAGCAGGGCCAGGCACTCAGTGTGTGGTGGGCAGGTACAGGGGACCAGGCCTGGCCTTGAGGAAGAGCTAGGCCGTCCTTATCCCAGGGAGGTCAGCCTCCCAACCCCCAACAAGTGAACAAACAGCCTCTCAGAGTCTGGTCTCAAACTAGGAAGCAAGTATGAAGGCTAGGTCAGGAGGGCAGGGTGTTGTTGGGGGGCCATGGGTCAAGCCACTGACACCCATCAAAAACAACACAACTTAGCCCTAGCCGGTTTGGCTCAGTGGATAGTGTTGGCCCTCAGACTGAAGGGTCCCAGGTTCAATTCCGGTCAACGGCATGTACCTGGATCGCAGGCTTGATCATCAGTCCTGGTCCAGGCTCATGCAGGAGGCAAGCAATCGATGTTTCTCCCTCTCTCCCCGCCAACCCCCAACCCCCGACTTCCACTCTAAAAAAAAAAAAAATCAATGGAAAAATATCCTTGGGTGAAGATTAACAAAAAGTAAATAGAAAACAAAAACAATGCAACTTAGCCCAGCCGGTTGCTCAATGGGTTGAGCATCAACCTATGAACCAGGAGGTCACAGTTCAATTCCCAGTAAGAGCACATGCTGTGTTGCAAGCTCGATCCCCAGTGGGGGAGCAAGCAGGAGGCAGCCAATCAATGATTCTCTCTCATCACTGATGCTTCTATCTCTCTCTCCCTCTCCCTTCCTCTCTGTAAAAAATCAATAAAATATATTAAAAAAAATGTAACTTACATTTCACTTAAATTAAATAAATTAGCAAATGTTCCTTCTTCTAGTGTAGAAATCTTGTTGTTGCTTATGTCCCTGAAAGAAAGGGGGGATTCGGCAGGGTCTGAGGGATGCCCCCATAACCACAATGGTGACAAGCTGCCGCCACCTTCCCACCCTGTGGAATTCCACAGCTGAGCCAAAGGGGACACTCACAACTCTGTCAGCGCTGAGAGATTCGCCAGGAGCCCAACATCCAGCGCCCGGAGCAGGTTGTGGGAGACATCTCTGGGAAACAAGGCGGCCACAGGTCAGCATTGGATCCCTGGGCAGGACACAAAGCCACCCCGAGGCCATCCTGGAAGCTCCCCAGGACCCCACCCCCAAGTTCCCTATCCCTAGGGCCAGAATGGAGAATCGGAATGAACTCTCGGCTGGGGAAACCAAGGCAGGAGAGGCCTGGGGCCCCTCAAACTCCATCCATGCCCTGCCCCCTCTCCTGCAGATCCAAGGCCCTGCCCAGTCCCCTTCCCGTTGGCCCAGCAAGGCCATCCCACACCACAGAGGGCAGACTTCACCCCCCTCCACACAGGGGCCAGCTGCTGCCACTGGGGGGGCCTCTGAATGTCCCTGAGACACAGTGGGGCACAAAGTCCAGATGAACAGGGATAGGGCCCTAGTGGATGACCCAGCACCATAGTGATGGTAACAGCCCCAATTAAACCTCAAGGTTAACATGACCTCGATAGCATGACCCCACACGGTCAAGATAACACAGACTCAGTGAGAAGCATAATTGGGCAAACACCATCAAGAAAAGGTGAAACATGGATTGACCCTATGTTAAACTGTGCGGCCTGTGTAGGAGTGGATGAACTGACGAGAGCAAGATGAGAGCAAGGGAATCTCCTGAAACAGACTGTGACCCCACCAGAATCTGTGCAAAGGAAGACGGGACTGACACAACAAGGACATCAGCCAATAATCCCACTTTCCCTCCCAGCACCAAGGGGGAGATCACAGTCACTCTGCCCATCTATCTCCTGGGACGGGGACCCGGGGACCACTTAGACACCCCCAGTCACCTAACCACCCTATCCTCCTCATCTTCTCCCCAGGCTCCCACAGGTCTCTAAATAAATAAGGCCTGGACCTCCTACCCATAAGCCTCTGCCCTCTGATGTCTCAGAACGCCTCTCACCAACCCGGTCTTCCCATCAGTGACCACACAGCCATGCAGAGACCGGGGTCCATCGATGCCTCCTCCAGGCCCAGCTCCTAAAACACACAGCCTCCCCCGTCCTACCCCCATCCCTGGCCCTGGCCTGGCCTGGCCCCGCCACCACGGGCCCTCCTAGCCAAGCTCCCATGGCAGCCTGGGGTGGGAGTGTCCTGAAGCCCAGCTCCCGTCAGTCACCCTCTGGCTCTGCTTTCTCCAGCCTGCTCTGAACACAACAAGAGCTGAGTAAGAACAGGCTGGTGGAAACTAGGTCCTCCTGGAGCCGAGGCACTGAGGACCAGCCCAGGCCTCTGGGTCTCCACACACACAGGCCCCAAGGTCATGGGGGTGAGGGGAAGACAAGGTCCCAGGGCTTGGCTGGCTGGGATGCCTGACACAGTCTACCCGCTCAGCTCACAACCAGGACCACCTCTGGAGCCAGGCTCAGGAAATGACCCCCACCCCAGCCTCTGACCACTGCTCCTCCCTGGAGACCTGCTGGCCACATGGAGCTTCATGGCAACCAATATTTGAATGATGGCCTCCTACCACGGACAGGGACTGAAGGCTGGGTCTCAGCTAGGCTGCTCCCAATATCCTGGCTCCCAACATAGCCAGGGGGCTACCTAGGGATTTTGGGGGGACACCACTGGGCTTTGAGTAACCAATGCAGGGGGCTTGGCCCAGTCCCCCTGTGGCTTCCACTAAGGGAGTGTGGGGATTTGAACTATGGATTCAGTCAGCTAACACTGGGAGCCGTGTGTGTGTGTGTGTGTGTGTGTGTGTGTGTGTGTGTGTCTCGGTCTCTCTCTGCCAATGAGCAGACAGCACATGGACATGAAGAGCTCCACCTAGGCCTGCCGGGGGTGGGCAGCAGGCCAAGGGCATCCTCAGTCAGAGGGTACGGGCAGCAAGTGAGCAAGCACACGGTCCTCCAGTGAGCAAGAGGGGCTGAGAGGAACTCCAGACACAGTCACACGGGTCAGGCAGGTCCTCCCAGTGGTGGAGCCTCTGCAGAACCAGACTGGGGTCCTACAGGGCGGGGGAGGCACTGGTGGGTCAGAGCTCCTGCTGCAACCAGACAGGGGCTTCCCCAGGAGGACCCACAGCAGCCCCACCACTGCTCTGACCAAGTGGCCCAACCAGGCAGGATGCCAGGACACCTCACTTGGCAAGGCTCTCCGCCCAGCAAGAAGGTCGAATGGCAGTGCAGGTGCCAGTTCATGCAGTCATGCCACCCAGCACCCTGAGAGCCTGACTGCTTTGGGAACCAGGGCAGCCACACACACTGAGAGGCCTAGACGTCCTTTGCCCTCCCCTGTGACACGAGACTTGATTTAGTTTGAGAGCCCTAAGCCCATCAGCGGTGTGGCTCGGTGCCTCCTCAGCACACAAAGGCACGAGAAACACAGGTGCAAACCGCAGCCCCCGCTCCCCAAATGTTCAAACTGAGAACTAAAGAAAGCGCTGGAAGAGGTGCAGAGTAACAAACCCATTCTCAAGAGCAGGCAGGTACCCTAGATTTTCCACACTCGCATTCTGCTCTTGACGTAGGAGGGTGGGCAAGGGTAGTCAGAAGCCACTCCAGCCAAGGAGGTCAGGACCCAGCCCTTCTCCACTCCAGGAAGTGGCACTGAGGCCTCAGGGTCAGATCCCTGCCCTGCTGCTGAGCTCGGTGCCCCACCCTCTCACCGAGACCTGAGATTCTCCATCTGGAAACAGGAGTGTGTGCTTGCACACACAGGTCTGTTTGCCTCAAGGGTTGTGGGACAGGAGCCCATGCCCAGAGTGTGGTTCCGAGAATTCCAGGGGAGAACCTTTGTGGGCTAGGGGACATGGAGATGGGGCCTCGGGCAGGGACACCTCTGCTCTCCCCATCTGAGCCCAGCTTCCCCCTTCCCTCCGACATGGAGGTGGGAGGAGGCTTTTTCCTTTCAGTCTGGCAGCTGCCAACAAAAGTGGGTCTGGGCCCTACCCGGCCTGGCTCAGTGGATAGAGTGTGGGCCTGCGGACTGAAGGGTCCTGGGTTCGATTCCAGTCAAGGGCACATGCCCTGGTTGCGGGCTTGATCCCCAGCAGGGGGCGTGCAGGAGGCAGCCAATCAATGATTCTCTCTCATCACTGATGTTTCTCTTTCTCTCCTTCTCCCTGCCCCTCTCTAAAATCAATAAAAATATTTTTTGAAGTGGGTCTGGGAGACATGGGGGGGGGGCATATGCTTTCTACTAGGGGCACAGTGGGCAACACTACCCGTTTCTGTGCTCAGTGTACACTGGGAAGGGTGGGAGCAGAGAAAACACTGGAGTGGAGGTCACTGGAAGGGTCATGGGGGAGGGTCACTAAAAGGAGAATCGTTGGAAGGGGACAGAGGTAGAGTCCTCACCCAGCCCCACAGCCCCGAGGCCCTGTACAGCCACTTTCCACATCTCCATCTGCTTTTGCCATCACTGTTCTGGGGGAACGCCAAGGCGTCGGGCCAGCCCCATCCCCTCTCCAGCCCCTCAGCTTCCTCTGCACCCCCAGGTGATGTCATTGCAATCTGACACCCTGTCCCACACTCAGTTGCCTACAGTCCTGCAAAAGTGGGGGGAAACGACATGGGAGGGGAAAACGACAGGACACAGCAGGCCCAAGGAGCTGCCTACAGGAGCCCACACAGTGGGCAGAAACAGCAGAGGCCAGACCCACGGGAGGAGAGCCAGCAGCCTGGCTGGACAGCACCCTGAGAGATGCTAGGCCAAGCAGGCCCACCCTCTGAGCCAGCTGGACCATCCCAGGTCCCTGCAAACCCCAAGCCAGCAACTTCCAGGGATGCCAAGGTTGGAGAGGTTAGGCCAGCTTGGGGAGCGGGGAGTGACCTGGGAACAGGCACACACCCACAACAGCACAAGACATGTGTCACCTCCCCAGGCACCAGGGATACGTCTGGGAGGGGCCCCCACTGCCTGCTACACTGAACACAAGTCCCATGGAGATGGGGACTCTCACTCCCAGCCCATTCCTTCTGCCGTCCCCTCTCCTGCTCCAAGACAGGCAAGTGTGATGGAGAAGGGGAGATCCCTGGTCTATCCCACGCATCTGGGCCCTCCTCCTCCTCCCACAGCAGGGCCCCAGCAGTCACTGGGGAGCCCGGTCTGTCCCCACGCAGGGGTGGTCCCAACTCCCTCTGCCTTCTAACTCAGACATTCTCAAGGGGAGCACCATTAGCTTCCCCTGGGCCTGCATCCTTGTCTTCAGGGCTTGAGCACCCAATAGCACATCTGTATGCCTCTGACTCTGATCTTTCCTGCTCCAAGCAAGAGAGAGGGTAGGGTGAGGGAAGGGGGGATCCCTGCATCCACCACCAAGCTGGAGCTGCCCGGCAGAAGGGGCTGAGGGCCCTCCCAATCCAATGGACAAAGGCAGCTTCCCCTGCCCACACAGGGCTCTGCCTCTGCTCACACCCCAAGCCTTGCAGTGAGGAGGGTGGCAGTGGAGGGGTTGGGGGGAGAGGGGAGGGGAGGAGGAAAGGATGGGAGGGAGTCCCAGGACCAGAACAGAAAGAGATGGAAAGGGACTTTGAGTGCGAAGGTAAGTGGGGGGAGAGGCGAAGGCCAAGGAGAGAGGTTGCTGTGACAGCAGGGCTGGAGTGGCCCCTGGGGCTCCAAGGGCAGTCCCCTTCAGAGCTGAGGAAATAACGCCCCAGACAAGCCGGGAAGCTGCCCTGCAGCCCAGAGCTGCCTATGTTTTCTCCTCGGCCGAGGACGGGATTGGCCTGGGTGCCTGCTCTCCAGTCTAGAGCTCCCCAGTCCAGATGCCGGGCGAGGTCTGGGGGCCAGTCAGAGCCCCCAAGGAAACATCTGCACATTCCAGACACATGTGGTCAGCGGCGGGGGTGAGTGCCAGGCCCCAGCCCAGCACCCCCACCCCAGTGCTGGCCGCTGTGCTGGATACAGGGCTTGAGGGGAATGGGCTCCAGAAGGGCCGCCTGCACATGTTATGTAACCTGCTCCTCCCAAGCCAGCAGCTGCCTCCTCCCTCCGACAGGACAGCACAGCACAGCGGTAGCAGAAAAAGGCACCCTACTCCCCATCCAGGGCCCAAGGCTCCCTCCAGCCTGAACCTGGAAATACAGTGTCAGTGGGTCTGGCTGGGCCAGCCTGTCCTCTCCTTGGAGGTGCCACACACTCAGGGAGAAACAGGGTCCCCTCCACGCATCAAGGGGAACGCCACACACAGTCCCTGGAAGCCAGGCTCAGGCAGAAGGGAAGAAAGGCCACAGTGCTGGTCCTGGGCCCCTCAGGGGACCCCTGCCCCCACCTCAGCCCTCCGGCCAGGTAGTGTCACCCACTTGCCACCTCGTCACTCACTAATGTGTCCTGTAGCACTGGGTACAGGCAGTCAGGAGCCCATTCCTGTGCCAGTTTGAGTCTAATAACCTCATTTTGTTTTCATTCCCTTCTATTTGTGGAGAGTGAGGCTGGCTGGCTTCCAGGGCCGGAAACGATGACTTTTAATAAATTCAAGTTTGAGAGAGAGAGCCGATTTGAAGAAAAACATGCAGAGAGGATGAGCTGGGGAGGTGGGCAGGAGGCAGGCCTGCCAGGGAGAAGGCGCAGGGAGGGCCCACCAGACCCACATTGGCTCTGTGCCCAAGCCCCCACCTGGCTCTAAACCAGGGCCCAGGGAATCAGCAAGGGGGGTGGGGGATGTCTCAGCCTTGAAAACTAGAGGGAAAGGCCAGAGTGAGAGCCCGCCACAGCCTCTCAGCCCCAGGGCACGGAACAGCGGGGCGGTGCCCATTCCACAGGGTGCTCTGTGGGGCTCCCTCAAGGAGC